AACTACGGGGTCATCTTTGTCTTCTCCAACGTCGATCTGAAACAGATACGGTGGTAACAGATTAATAAGGAGCAATTAAAATTAATTATATCAAGTATTCTCACCTTAATTAACTGTAGACCGTAATGTTCCAAAGTTTGCAGGTGTGAAAAGCAAATCAAATCCAAGAGGAATGCCAATGCAGAAAATTTGTTATTTCAGTAGAATTCGCATAAATCTTCAGTTGCTCTCACTCATCCCTTGAAAATTAACTGCATAACGTTGCAAGGTGAAGACGAAAACAGCAAAGGCAGCACCATTGTAGATATTATTTCAGTACCATCACAAACTGAACTTTAATTCTCTCTCATTTGTCAGATGATCTGTAGAGATGAGCAAAAAGAAATATTAATTATACTAACAACTAAAGAAGGAATGTTTAAATTAAGTAAAATATGTAATATAATTAAAAACATGCACAAAAACGAAAGCAAAACAGCTTATTATAAAATGGTGACGAGATGTCAATTTTATTCATGTCATAGATTAATGTTAAAGGTTATAGAAATAACCGTAGATGTACGATGTAAATTTATACAGTGGACTATAGAGAGTTAAAAGAGAACCCCATAGATGCACGATAACATCGATTTATTCAGTAAACAATAGATGGCTGTTGGAAGTAAAACCATAGATGCCACAGATCGCAAATTACTATGAAAACTAAGCAACTTCAATATAATAGAAAAACAATTGATTATCTGGAGGATTACTCTACGGTACTCGAGATTTATTCCTAAGCATTGATAAAGAGAAGTGTCTCTTATCAATAACCACACATAGCATTGCAATCTTATATGCATCAGCGTAAATCGGACTGCATGTATTTTCTAAAAATCGCACCTTTCACAGCCAAGGGGCGGGAACATTAAAGGGGCTCCAATTCTCCATGTTTTGAATCCTTTTTTACTTTTTGTCTCCTTCTTCATTTAATATGTTTAAATGGCATCCTGTTGAAATAATTTAATGTGAGCTTCATTTTAAATATCATGTTTTAAAATATTAAAAACCCTAATTAACATTAATCAAATAGTAGACTATCAAAATCAATACATAACTATTACAATTCAGAAGTGTAAAAAATTATAGCGGTAATTATTGTCAAACAAATGGAATGCAAGATTTGGAAAATCATGAATCATTTCGTAAGTGCAACTTCATAAAATTATTAAAGACTTCTTACTCTTACCCTTTCCACAAACAACCCATTTGCATAAACACCCAAAACAAGCATGATTGGAGACCGTGCTTCTCCACATTTCCCCTTTGATTAATCCTCTCCATGTACATTTAATATGATTTAATAGACACCTGTTAAAACAATTTAATATCATTAGTTGTATGTTCACTAGATTTGTTATTATTTTATTATTAATGATAATTACCATTGTAAGCACCCTGTATCTTATGATTGTTTTGACCAGCTCGTTACAAGCTTTCTTGGTAATAAAAATATGTCTGGTTGCTACAAATCGGTAAGTAGCTTGTCCATTGAATCCAAGGATATCATCTCAAAGCAAGTCTATATACAGAAGAAAAAAAAACAAGTCGTCAAAACCTAATCTGTAGAAATCAACGCAAAAATGAAAATCTTTTTGAAAGAAATTTAGAATTTTAAAAGCAGAATAATAATATTAAGAAATATTTTACATATTTGGCTACAAAACGAAAGCAAATCCTCTCGGCGTGGTCACACCAATATGAAAAATCTACAATCATCGTCTAAACCTATTATCAAAATTCAAAAATTCTAACAAAAGCTTCATTAGTTAATCCCAAAACTATTAATCTATTAAAATACACAACAGATGCATGGGCAGGGAAGATGCCTAACATTGAAACATGAAATCAACACGCCCTCGAAGTCATGTACGCTAAAAAAATTTAAACAACGGTATTTAAAACCCACCAATTATTAAATAGAAACGTATTCTACACAATTAAATTAAAATCGAATAAGGATTAGGGCTAAATACCTTCAGATGTAGTTATTATTTCTGGACAGATAAATGGCGCTTTGTAGTCGTCTCGTGGAAGAATGCAAGCCATAGACAAATGCATGTGCAAGATTCGAGATGCGATGAATCGGACGTCCCATAGATGAAAATTCTTTCTATACCAATGATGCATAGATATCAGAAGATTGTATAGGTGCGTTCAATTACACTAAGTCAATGTAATTCTTATATAAATCCTGATCCACCTTTAAAATAATTACTTCAATAAAAGTAAGACAGCATATTTTAACTATATGTATCAATTTTTAAGAAGTAATGCGACATCGCCAGGTAAATTAGGTAAGAATAATATTTATAAAGTTACACTATTTAATATTTGAATGCAAAAGTCCAACGTACTTTACATATGACTTGAGAATAATTAAGCTAAATAGGTAATGTATTATAAAAATCTTACCAAAAACCAAGGACCATCCAGAATTAAGAATGTTCAAAGATTCAACAATATTCAGTACAGAATAGTCTCCAGAACAGTTTGTGGATTAAAATAAGAAGCAAGGTTATTATAATTGACCATTAGTTTGTTTAATTCTTGCTTGTATGGTTTTACTGCTGGTTATCTCAGAAGGTGAGGTTTCTGAAATAATTAAATGAAAATTTCACAATAATTGCCATATTGTTGTCATAAATCCTCCCTTCAGTACAACACACCGCCTCTGCTTCCAATGGAAAAACCGAGAGGCGCTTTTAGATTTCTACGTTAATTCCCAAGTTGGTACTGCTATATTCTGGAGTGAAACAGAACTGCTACAACAATAGTCACATACAGATAATTTATTACTCACTTAGCGGATTAAAAAATGGTTAGGTGGAATAAACTAACTATACTACTAGTACTACGAACACTACTTAACAATAAAATAAACTTTGGATAAAGTTCATACTCATAGGAAACTATGGTAAGAGTCAAGCATGTGGAGTCAAGACCATGACAAAACTATGGTCATCGGCCATCATGAAGTTTAAAAGCAGGAACATAGAACATACTATGAAAATCATAGAAGTACAAAACATGCATAAGAAAATAGTATAGCATCTTATTTATATATAGATTATTAAATTACAGTTTATTATTTGTTATTCTTGGAGGATATAGCTAAAAGATGAAAGTATCGGACCATATATTATGTCATACCATTAATACCACCGTCCCCGTCCTCGATGCAGGAGACAATGCCTCTCATAACCTCAACAAACATAATTTGACAACTGAAAGAGTTAAATATTTATGATAAATATTCGAAAATGTTTTTACAAGAATTTCAAGCTGTAATTTTAGCAGCTGGGAAAGGTTCTAGATTTTGTGAAATTACTTCTAACAAGCCCAAATGCTTATTACCTGTGGGCAACAAGCCACTTATTTGGTACTCACTGCACAAACTTCAACAGTCAGGCTTTAAAGGTAAAAAAAGTGTGATAAAATTTCTATTTTTTCAAGCCATTTATTTACTATTTCAGATGTGATAGTTATTGTATTGGAAAATCAGAAGCTAGAAATACAGAGTACCTTAGACAATTATAACTTAAAAATTAATATAGAGTATGTGACAATACCAGGCAATGAAGATTTAGGTACAGCCGATTCCTTAAAGAGGATAAGTGATAAGATTAAGACAGACCTTTTTGTTGTAACATGTGATATAATAACTGATATTAATTTTAAATATCTGGTGGATCTATTTAGAAAGCATAATGCATCTGTTTGTACATTATTTTTAAATCCTCAACAAGATCAATTGGTAGTTCCAGGGCCTAAATCAAAATATAAGCCAGGTATGCTGTAATTTAATAGATATAATAAGTAGTTATATTATCTGGTTAATTGCATTAAAAATCTTGGATTTCCTGTTTTAGAGAAAGATTTGGTTGGAATAGATGAACAAACAAATAGATTGGTATTTCTGGCTTCAATAAGTGATTTTGAAAATTATGTACCCCTATCAAGAAAACTTTTAAGAAAACATCCCCATGTTAAGTTACATACGAACCTTATTGATTCCCATGTGTATATAATTAAAAAGTGGATAGTGGATTATTTGCAACAGGAAGATATTTCAACACTGAAAGGAGAACTTTTGCCTCACATTGTTAAAAAGCAGTTATTAAAACCTACACAATCAGATACAAATGCTTCTTTGATTAATATCAAAGATAAGAATGATATATTTCATTTTGCTAAGGAGTCAGAATTAGATTTGTTAATCCGCGAGAAATCCACTTTTAATGATCATATTGGAGATTTAAGATCTTGTTATCATGATGATGTAATTAGGTGTTATGCATGTATTGCTGATTGTAACAGTGTTGGAATTCGAGTCAATACATTGCCTTCATACTGGATAGCAAATAATAAGGTGAGAGTGTGAGATAAAAAAAGATCGTTGAAAAATTATATACTTCTTTTAGATAACAGAGATTTGGGAAAAGATAACAAATGGGGAGAAGTTGGCAATGATTGGCCCTTTGGCTGAAATTAAATCAACTCAAGTGGATAACAAATGCTTAATATGGGATGGTTCCAAATTACATGAAAAAACTTCTTTTAAAAATAGCACAATTGGATCAAATACTGAAGTTTTTAGTTTTTCACGGGTTTTTAATTCATTAGTAATGAATAATGTGACCATAAAAGAAAAGTAAGCCTTTAAGGGATTTACTAATATTGTTAAATTTCAAAGTAATATTAACTCCTTTTATATCCTGTGTATATTTTTTTTTCTGTAGTTTTGTTTTATTTTTTCAAAAAGAGTTTGAATCGCTTTAATTTTTTATTTGACATCGAATTTTAAAAATCGTGGAAACAATTATATTTTTTTTACAAATAAATAATTGATTATGTTTTTACAGAGTGTCAATTGAAAATTGTATAATTTGTGATGGCGTTACATTAGAGAATGGTTCACAATTAAAAAACTGTGTTGTTGGAGGGAATCATACTGTTACCGAAAATTCTCAACATACAAATGAAGTCTTGACTATTGCAGAACAACTAATGGAATTTTAATAGATATATGTATTTATAATAAAAGCGACAAAAAATAAACTATTTCAGCTATATCGAGTTTGGAAATTAAAACATGCAGGAAGAGCTCCGTGAGTTCATTGCATACTACTCAAACTGACTGACCAAAATATTAGGTCGAAAGTTTTATTGACATAAATTAAGGCAAAAGATATTTAATTTCCATAATTTCCTTAATCTTAATATACATTTATATAAAGAAGGCATTAAAAAAAATTACCTGTTGCATTTACAGTTGAAGTTAAGGGCAAAAATACAAATTTTTGTTTTAACTGTTTACTCTTTTTATATCAATAAATAAATTTGCAATTACGATTTAAATTGACACCAGGTGTCATTAAGAATAAACACATTAATAAATTTTAAACCAATTGAATGGTGATGCATATCACACAATAAATTGACTTCACTTTAATTAAAGCTATTATTTGTATAATAATAGTTTTTATTTCTACAAAAACGATTTACAATTATACTTCAAATAGATAATTATAACTACCTCAGAGCAGATACTTCACGTTATTAAGTACAAGTGATTACAACTTGCATTTTTCAATTTTTCATCCTCAAAACTACGATATTCTTAAATTTTTATCTTCGTCTCGTGGTGCCAATTCCAACTGAACTCCAGAGCTAATTGTCTTCAGGAACGCATATCTGTTTCCAGTGGAGGAATGAGTATTTCTATATCTCCTTTAAATATTAAACTACCTAGTAGTAAAGGAGTTCATTTACTATTTAAAATAAAAATTTTATCATAAAATAGCAATGAAATTATAGTAAGTCACTACAACAACAAAATATTCAAAATAACTAGATAAAAAAAGGTAGGATTTACATATTTCTTGAGTACAGCTCCTTCCATCTGATGTGGTGACTTTTTTAATTTGTTTGTAATTGTTAACGTGACTTACTTTTGGGCCAATAACAAATTTAATGTAACTGAAGAATGAAATCCATGTCAGTCGCTCAGATAACTCAGACCAAATCAAAGAACAGAGCAAGGTCGGGTTGTTTTTTTAGAAAAAGACATTCTGTGCTGTGGAAATTACAACAAGATTGTTAAATGTGTAGATATGTTTGGAGCATGAATTTGTATGGGTGTGAAACGTTGATGGTGAACGTGGTCGATAAGAAAAAGTTTGATGTGTGGTGTTTTAGGAGTACGATGATAACGATTTGGATAGAAAATTTTAGAAATAAGGACGAATTGGAGAAAGGAGGAGAATGTTAGGGTAGGACACCTGAGACATGTAGGGTTAGTTGGAAGACGATTAGATTACTGTTTGTAACTAGTTAGGTATCTGCGGTGTTTTCCGAAAAATGTGAAGATTGTTCAGAATATTATTCTTAAAATAGTCTTATAAAATACAGGGTGTTCATTTTTTTGTATCATTAAAGTTAAAAGTTAACTTACCTTTTCTTATCTGAAAATGACATTCTCCAGGTAAGTAATTTTAACCGATATAATTTAAAAGTACGTATTTATTTTTTATTTACAAAAATATTATACAATACTTTAACCTCTGAAAATATTATAATAAATATTTACAACCTATAAACCTACATTATTAAACTGTGGTAATTGTGCAGATTTTCGCCATTCAGAATCATACAAGCAAGCGTACAATGCAGAGAGAGAGAGACAAAGAAGAAATTAATAAGGGATAATAACAATTTATTTACAACAGAGATTCAGTTTAGTATTAAAATGGTGCATACAAGTTAATTAATCACAAATATGCAATAAGTACAAAACGCTTGTACTTAATTAAGTAAAGGACACATTTATACCATTTCACTGCTAAACAGAAAGAACAAAACTTGTAAAATATCTAAAAGCAAATACACAAATTACTGCGAAAAGCTTAGACTGAATTAAAAAAAATTAACGGTTATTTTTGAAAGAAAAAAACAATAGTCTACGTGTACAAAAATACATAACAGCTTTGTAAATGCAAAGGTAAACAACTGTTTGAACACTGTTTTGTGCAAGAATTTATACACATTTTAATGATATATAACAAATATACCTACTACAATTTAAATTTGAAAAGCATCAATATCAATAACTTTTTTACTTCATAACAAAAATTATTGTCTTCTTGAACAAAGAAAATTTAAAAATCAATAGAAAAAGTTTATCTTAATATATTCTGCGTGTGAATGAATTTATTATACACTAAATAAATTATAGGGTTGGAAAAGGGTTGACAAAATTGCTCAAACGTAGCTAAAGAAAAAATAATAAATTTTAATTATGTGGTTAATATACGTAAATGTAGAAATAAAACGAATTAATTCCAAGATGTTATAATAATAAAGAAAAAAAGTAAGTAGATACTAAATGACTAGAAAGCCTCATTTTACGGTAAATATTATAATCGTTTTGACAAAATAATATTTACGTCATTAAGAACTGTGGCTTTTAATCAACAACAAATAAATTGATTCTGAGCTTCCATTTTTCAACCCTTGCTACGGTCCTGTATACCGAATACGGTAAAGCTTCTCAAATTAAAAGCTAAAACAGCTTTAGCTTGCAACTGCCTGTAGATGATTAATTAATATTATGTAAAAGTAGTAGCAAATTGGTACAATAGATAATATAAGCAAAATGCACCCTGAGGTTTGCCACAATCACATTTGAATAGTCACGATCTCTTACTCATCACATTCATTATAAAAAAAAATTGATTATTACAACCCAAAATGAGAAGTGGTCGCGTTCACATAACAAAAAAAAAGTAGCTTAACATATCGTTTGATTTTTTTTTTTGTTTTCAAAGAAATGCCTTTGTACCCAGTAACAAAATTACGATCTAATTTACTCCTAATTTTGATTGCTAGTTTAATCGATTTTTTTGTTACTTTCTTCTTCTTTGGCTTGGCTTACAAAGCCTCTGTTTATTCCGTTGGAATAGCAGGGTTTGTAGGTGTTCGAAAATTCGCTTTGCATATAAGTGTTTGACAAGTTACCATTTTCGTGATGGGTACCGTTTACCATTTTACCATTTGATACGTTACCGTTCGTTTTGGAGGTACCGTTTCGGTGACTCTTTTCACTTCCCAAAACAGGCTGCAAGAAACAGCACAATAAAGCATACTGAGATCAATAAGAACCAATTTTCATTTTAAAATGAAGAAAAATTACAATTGAACTTCGATAACTCTACTACGAGTAGAGATGTGCAAAATGGTTTTTTAAAATTATTTAAATACAAAATGCAAATACTTTTTGATTAGTCTTTTTCAAATGTAAAATACGAAATAGATTTCCCTTTTGTATTTTAAATGCTAAAGTCAAAATACGTATTTTCAAATTACTTTTTTCAGATAAATATTTTTGAAGTGAAACTTCTCTACGCACGGTCGGGTAAGTTCGTTTAATGCGAGTTGCTATGTAACGAAATCATGCAACGGATGTCCCCCTTCTACTCGACCAAGTCGAGTTCGTAGTGGGGATCGCTTGAGACGTGAGCGCGCTTCAATGCAACGTTCGTTACAGGCAACTCCGGCATGTATAGTGTAAAATTTAAATTCATAGTGTACAAATAATGCCATTAAACCAATACCTTAACCCCTATCCCGGTATGTCTGTGCGTTTGAAGAAGTCTCACTTCAGTAGCGTGTTGTAAAATTACACGTTGTATTGTTTTCTTTTTATAGTACCTGTTTAATTTTCTTTATTTACTTAAGTATAAAATATGTTTAAGAAAACCTTGCAGGAGTTTGCTCATTTTTTAAATATTGCAGCTTTTCTAGACTAATAGTGGTGTTTGCACTATATCACCAGCTGCGAAGATGAAGTATTATTCATGTTTTTCTGTTTGAAGTGATTGAGGTTTAATTTTCTTTATTTACTTAAGTATAAAATATGTTTAAGAAAACCTTGCAGGAGTTTGCTCATTTTTTAAATATTGAAGCTTTTCTAGACTAATAGTGGTGTTTGCACTATATCACCAGCTGCGAAGACTAACTATGACCATATTTTTCTGTTCAAAGTGATTCAGATATAGTTTTTTTTATCTTTATATTACAATTTCTTAACAGCAACAAATAATTCTATTTTTCCTTATTTACCTTTGTCACCTGTTTTAATTGAAAAAAGACACTGGATTTATATAATGTTTGATCGGTGATATTAGCAAAACTTTTAACGGCAAAAATGTATTTTGCATTTTACAAATACAAGATAAAAATAGGTATTTTTTTATTCTGCATTCGCATTTTAAATACTCACAACATACATCATACTTGAGCTACTTTCCACTTGTTTTATAAGTCTAATTTTTTGATCAACAAGTTTTTGAAGTATGTTTTACTGACATTCAAACATCCACAAGAATATCTTCAATGAATCAAATAACTACAGTATTTTCCTTCACTTACAATGAACAATGACCAATAAAATGACCTTAATAAACACAGAAACTGAACTGCTTGCTTAATACCGTTACAAAAAGAGACAATAATCATTAAAGTCGTACGTTATTAGGGGATTTCCCCAGAAAATTTGAGTTATCGAAGTTGAAGTCAAATATTATGTTTGAGTTATCAAGATATTCAAGTAACAGAAGCAAAAATTATACATATATATTACAATTTTTCAACAGTTTAACAACACACGTAAATATTGCTGTAATTGTTTTTAGTCCTTTCAAAATATGGACCTTTTTGGTACCGATAAATAATTACTGAAATTAGTACAAAATAACTTACCATACAAATACCGCCGTTTCTCGGTTTGTCCTCGGTGTATTTCACTTTGTAGAAGTCGGAGAACAGGAATAGGAACAAAATTCCGTGTAGTGCAATCCAAATCATGAACGATTTCGGATAATTACAATCAGTAAACAATAGTTGGAATTGGTGGGTGAAAATTAAGATGAACTGAACCTGCAAAACAATAGAAGTCGTTTCTAGAATCGCGTAATGGAATATAAAACCTATACATCTATTATCATCGTCATAAGGTCTTCAGTAGAAGAACAAAATTTAAGGATCTACGATATACTGGGTCTTAAACAAAACGAAAGTAAGAAACCCTGGATAACAAACGAGATTGTAGGACTAATAGAAGAAAGGCGGAAATACAACAACAGGACAGACGAAGAAGGGCAAAAAAGATATAAGGTTATAAAGTGGGAAATAATTAGGAAGTGTAGGGCAGCTAAGGAAGAGTGGATTGATACGAGGTGTAAAGAAATAGAAGAAAAGTTTGAAGTAGGTAAAAGCGATGAGGCTTACAATATAACTAAATGGAATTTTAGAGATGTAGGGTATAGTACTAATAATAGAAGAAAGGAGGCAGGAGACGAAAAATTAGAAGAAGTGGCTGATTTTAGGTATCTAAGTCAGATAAGTCAGGACAGAAGGCATAGTAGGGAAATAAAGCAGATGATAGCGCAGGGTCGAGTCACCTTCAATAAGAAGAAGCCACTTCTATGCTCGAGAACAATTAATGTAGAAATTCGAAAAAGATTGTTAAAGGTATACAGCGGCGCTGTACGGGTGCGAAACATGGACAATGCGCGCGGCGGAAAAGAAAAGGTTAGAAGCGTTTGAAATGTGGTGTAACAGAAGAATGACGAGGATACCGTGGATAGAGAAAGTTAGAAATGAAGAGGTATTAGAAAGAATAGGAGAACAGAGAACCTTGTGGAAGTCAATAAAAAATAGGCGAGATAGATCGATAGGACACCTTTTCAGGAGAGACATAAACAGAAGTTAAGTGGAATAGAGATAGACCTAGATTAGATTACTGTTCACAATTAGTTAAGCATGTGCGATGTTCTAGTTTTAGGGAAATGCGAAGATTAGCACAAGATAGGAAGGAGTGGAGGTGTGTGTCCAACCAGTCTTAGGACTGACGACCTTATGATGATGAATGATCCAATTATTCTTCAAAAACAATCAGTTGTAGTTAATAACATGAAAATATTGTACTGTATGTCCCTCAAACTGCACTTTTCGTTTTCAAATTTCGAATAAAACCGGAAAAACAAACGCTTGTACCTTGTAAACATAATCGGTGCGACCATCTCCTCTTATAATACAATATTTTGGAACTAGCTAACTACTAAAAGTTATAATAGAATGGAAGATTCCTTACGTCTACATTCGATATCTAGAACGTTATTATTAATTTAGAATTTTTACGAGAAAATCGCCATTGAACGTCCATTAAATAGAAGAGTAAAGTCAGCAAAATAAAAAACAAACATCCGGATAATTAAAAGCTTATTAAGTGTCCTAATGAGAAATTAAAAGCTTCGGTAATTTTTTCAAAAAATTGCTGCTCCGCTAGTGTTAGATTAAGATTAAGATATTTAAGGAATTGAAACAGTTTTTCAGTTAATCGCATTGTAATTAAACATTAATTAAATGTTTTTGAAAGAAACTTGTTGCAAATTAAATGTTCTTACTATTTATTCAGTAAATAAGACTTCTCAGTTTGAATATAACGTTAGTATACAAGTGGACCAAAAATATATTTAAGCAAATTTCAGTAATTTACTGCTTGAAGGATCACTAAAAGCCTATTAAGTACCCTAATGAATAATTAAATGCTCCTGGCATGTCTTCAAAAATTACTATTAGCAAAACATGCATGAAAAAATGTTCTACTCAATGAAAATAGCATTTTTATTCACACAATTAAATGTTTCCAAAAGAGACCAGTTATGAGTAAAATGTATTTGTTATTTTTGCACTAAAGTGCTATAATGAGATGGCCTGAAATACTTGCAACAGTACAAACTGTTGGGCGGGTAAGTACTGGTACATTCTTACTTTAAAATTTTGTCATTTATAGTGTTTATTTGAGCTAATTGAGCAAAGATTGCTCTAAATGGCAATGGGAATTTTGACGGATTTGACTAGTGTTTCGTTTCATTTTTATAAATTAATTATTTGTGATGTGACCTAAAAAGTTTCAAAGTTCACATGCACGCTACAATATTTCATTTTATTTTATTCGTACTTATTAACTGTATATAATTAGTAGGTAGTAAATTATTATATATTTAGTTTAGTCACGTTGCCGAGACACAAATTCACTTTTATCATTTTTTTTTGTGAGTTGCGCCTTTTTTTGACTGACACAAGGGGTTTTATTTCCATAGATATTAATCAAGTAGGAGTGGATGTGCGATTTCAGAGGTCGGTCATCTTTGCAATCAGCCGGCATAATCAGTGAATAATCTCATAAATTATTCATATTTACTTCAATTTCATCACGTAACAGTACGTTACACCTTTTTTTGGGACACAACAGAAATATAAATAAAATTTGGTTGAAATGTCTACTTATGTAGGTACGGTTTGGGTGACTAGATTAACAGAAGTGACATAAAAAGACAAATGAATATAATAACATAACGTTATAAATACGGATTTTGTTATAAACGAATGCCGCAGACGGCGATCGGTACGACACGGCGGTATCTTTGAAAGGTAACAACTGCGTTCATAAATCATGTACAGATACGACACAAACACAAGACAAAATGCAACAAAATTAAATAAAATTCTCATTATTGAACTGTAAATCTAGGAAGAAGTTCATGAAAGATTTCAATTTCCGTAATCGCATCGAAGTGCTTTTCGGAGAAAGTAATGAATGACGAAGTCAACAAAAAGGTTCGCATACAGGTCTAATCTCATCAAAGGAATGCTTTGGATAATGATGGACATTGTACCACTACATTTTTCGTTATACGAACGTACGAACATTATTGAAGTCACTCCCATTCAGCTGAAAGATGAAGTCATCCATTTCATGTTAAACGACGTGAAGTCCCGAGGAAAACAGAAAGAGGGATAAGACACGTGATGAATTTGCTCGCAAACGAGTAATTTAGAACATACAAAAGGGAAAATGAATAGCTTCAATGGTACGTGGGGATAATGAGAAAATGGAGGATTTTATAAATTTTACAGAACATACAAAATTCTATTACTTTTTTTTTAAAAAGAAAAGGATTTTGTTTTTAAACAAATTGGTCCGATTGGCACATGCTGTTATTTACAAATTAATTGATATAAATCGTTAATAAAAGTTTTATAGAAACTAAAGAAATTTCATCTTATGTCGGAAGTGCTTCTACCCACTTCTATTCCTTATTTCAAATATTAAAAAAGAACATTAATTTTTGTGCCAGTAACATTTAAAATAATTAATTTTTTAAAATATTTAATCAAAAATAAAGTTAAAACAGAAAAACGAATTCGTGTGGAATTTATAGAGTACAATGTAATATTCGTAATGCGTTATATATTAGACAAACAGGGAGATCGTTTACGAAAGGACACTAGAACATTTCAAAAAGTAAAATGAAAAATCCACACTATGAACCACATAAGAAAAAATAGCCATAAGAAGATGCCCTAACAGGGTGAAACAATTGTCAAAATTGAAATAAATATGTAGTGGAAATTTGTGAATTACTTAGTTTAAAACTGATCACGGAATTACCAATTTTTTTTTAAACTAGCAATGGAATCGAAAAATGTCCCACTTAATACTATCTCAGGGACATCATCCCCCATCAAGAGCCTTATAGGTAAGGCAAAACATTCCCCGAATATATAAGACTACATATTTCTTTGTCGGCATTTTTTCGTCTTATGTCACACAAAAATGACACTTTGGTGAGCGTCTGCTGTATATGTATGTATTTTTTCGACCACGTCTATCTGAAAATATCACTTGCTTTTCTGAAAACTATCCTAAACTAACCGAACTCTCAAAATTATTTTAACAAAGTCGAATACCCCTTCCCAAAAGCATGAAATTGCATTTATTGGACTTATACTTTATTATTTATCTATATGAAAAGACCTGGATCCTCTTTCCATTGGGCATTCTAGGCAAGTGCCCAGGATCCCGCGAACGACGGGAGGCCCTCCAGTTTCTGCCAGATCCATCCACCAACCGAAAATCAATATTTATTATCCATAAATATATTTATTTTGAGTAAATCAACCAATAATTACAAAACAAAATTGAAAACACATTTCTAAATGTAGAAAATGCATTGAGAATCTTTTTAAGCATGACTATAATTAACGGCATTAGGGAGGGCTCTTTCTCCAAAATTGCAACGATTAAAAAATGAATTAACGCTTCAAGAAACATCTACCAGTATGTCCCTAATGCCCACAGAATATAATGTGTTCAAATACATAGATTTTGAACAAAGAAATTAAAGAAATAAAAATAATTGTTCAATAAACTTAGAATTTTGTTTATCTACCCTTTTTGACTGTTTTAATAAAACGGGGGCCCCTATCAAAGCCATAGGGGCCCCGTTGTCCTTATGTGCCCAGGGCCTCCGATAGGTTAAAGAAGATTTTCAAACGATGATGCCGCTTTTTGATGATTGCATGTAACACAATAAATATTCCTATGTTCGGTTGACAATATTTGATAGAGGAGTCGTGACCAATCATTTTTTTGGTTGCAGTACACCTTCGAACATTCGCGCGAATGAAAATAATTACTAAGTGTTAATTACGAAAAAAACAAAGTTAAACTAAATTGCCTTGGCAATCACTACTTTCTCCGAATTGTTGGATTTTCATTTTACGTTCTAATAATTTTAGTTAGGTATATATATGTGTATACACGGTCAGTTTATTTAATTTTTCTTTCCTATCGAAAACTTCCGACTTACCGAAGATGAAATAATACATATAAGTACACACCGAAAAATTTCTTCAAAAAATTGTTACATATTTTGAATTCCTACTGTATCATCTTATTTTTTTTATCAACGAACACTTTTTGTTTATAATTTCAATTTTATCTACCTCCTAACCCAAAATGTTTGCGTACGCCCTTGTGTGGTATGTCCAATAACATGAGAAAGTTTTGTTTATTTAACGTTATGTGACGTACTACGTACACATGTGCATGGAAATAAAAATCACATCTGTGCGTCGCAAAAGTAGAAAAAAGATTGTAAAAACCCAAGCGAGATAAAAAGTCAACAACAAATTGTTAGTTAATGAATTCATTTTCAGAATTATAGAAACTTACTCACAAAAAACAAAAAAGACGAAAAGTAAATTAATGTTAATATCCTTATCAATTAAACCAAAAATGTTATTCATATTTTATAGACTCTGGTAGAATGAAAATAATTTCATTACATATTAACATATGCTATTAACAGAGAAGTATATTATGTAGCAGATTATGATTATTTAATAAATCTGTTAAACACTTAAACCGATTCTATTTTTTTGGATCTTTTTTGGGCTTCTACCTCATAAGGAACCCTTATAAGTTAATTACTTTAACCGCGTTTGGTAACAAACTGTAAAATGAGAAACTTAATACATACATACGATTCGGTATACTAATTAATCAAGTTACAAATATAAACAAAAGGGTATATTTATTACATACAATTGTGGAGGGGATAAACTATCAATTATTTTTTTGAATCATGAGACATTTCATAAAAATTTTTATTTTTTTTAAGTATTATATCCCGGTTTTGCTTCTGAGATTATTGATTATATAAAAATATTTTAATTTTGGGAACATTTTCAGGGTGGCACAGATCATGAGAATCGGTATGGCATTCTGATGCACAATATTGCGATGTGGAAGGCAACGGGAAACCACCACATTATGATATCCCAAGTAAATTAAACGTATCAGGCATATTACATGATGGCGTCCTCTCGGGTAAAGCACTCCGGACGTAAACTAGTCCCCCATTCGGATGTACGGGCGGGAACTACCTCGGGGGATGTCATTAATAAATGTAGTAGGGGTAGGTGCAATATTTCACGAGTCGGAGCGTGGAAGGTTGTTAAAGGTCTATGTTTGGAGCGCGACGTTGTACAGGTGCGAAACATGGAAAGTGGGCGTGGCGGAAAAGAAGTAAAGTTTAGAAGTGTTCGAAATGTGATGTTATAGGCGAATGATGAAGATAACATGGGTAAAAAAGGTTAGAAATGAAGAGGTATTAGAAAGACTAGGAGAACAGAGGACTCTATGGAAGTCAACAAGAAATATGCGAGATAGGTTGGTAGGACACCTTCTCAGACATGAACGTTTAGTTAGAGACATATTAGAAGCAGAAACAGGAGTTAGGAGGGGTAGAGGTAGACATAGATTAGATTACTCTTCGCAAATAGTTAATGATGTAGGTTGTTCTAGTTTTAGGGAAATGCGAAGTTTAGCTCAGGATAGGAAAGAGTGGAGCTACGTGTCTAGCAGTCTTAGGACTGACGACCTTATGATGATGATGATACTTATGAAACCAACTATACACCTGGAGAGACATTTAGACCCGTCCATTTCTTACCAATTTGATTCTTAATTTGAGATTCTGATTAAATGTTTGAATATCGAAAGTAGGCCTTAGCAACCCATCCATCTTTTATTTAAACGTTCTAATCTAAACAATTAGTCTTTATCTCCAATCTCCAATAAAAATAATCGCGATATTCCTACTTAATATAAAGTCAACTATGACCTAAACAGTCGCAACTATGAATGTTCTCTCGTGACGCCGTGCGCATGCACGAGAAAGGATGTTTCTATTTCCGCCTCATCGTAAAATGAGCGTCAGCCTCGTATCATTTGCGCATGTGATCTGATGATGCGGAATTCTGTCTCGATGGGCGATGTCGAGGGAATCAGCTATTAGTAAATAATAGAAAGAAAAGACTTACCATTTGCAGTGTTGTAAGGTATTTTTTCCACCAGATGTATTTCTGGTATTCAGGGCCCATTGCGGCAACCATGTAGTAGAAGTACATAACAATGTGAACGAAGGTATTAAGGAGAGCAAAGAAAGTGCTGTGACCACCTGTAAAGAAACAAAATTTGTTAAAAGTGCGGAATTTTTACATGATAAGGGGTATTGGATTTTAAACTTCTTAATTTCTAAGTAAAACTTCTTTTGCTAAAATAAGCAAAGCTCAACAACATATTCGATTATTTATATGATTGTGATTCAGTTAGCGGTAATTTATGTTGTACAACATACATAATCGGTTATGATTCAGATTCGCTATACTTTATTATACTTGAAACGGGATGACGAGAAAACTGCAAATGTCTTTATCTCGTTGTAATTGCGAATGACTAAAATGTCGATTTAGAAAAATTTTTGACGGTAAAAATGAAACAATAAATTCGAGGCAATTATAACCTGAGTTAATCAATTAATCCACCAAAAAAATACTGATTGTATAAGCCTGTGAAAAGACTGGATTAATTATTACGAAAAAGTTACTGTAACGGCTGCGATTAGAACCCCACACGCTCTGCTAACGCTCGCATATGTGAGCTTTAATTTCCTGAACCATTTACTGCTTTACTTAAGCCTGTTACGCATTAAAGTTTCAATGTGTATTAGTCATAAATATTTTTTACGGTTATACATGGCGATGATGTAGTTAAAGTTCTAATAATAGTGCAGTTTCTCAATAATGTGACTCGATCTCTTCACCTTGATCTACAGCAATTCACTTTATACGATCACCCTGTATACATATCCCTTAATATTCATATTTTTAAAAAACATAGTCAATTAGTGTACTTGTTGTTTATAAAACAAGCATTGGTTCTTTCTTGCTATCAAAACGGCAAAATATTGGAAATTATTTTTATCCAAACAACTTCGAAGAAATTATAAAGTATTTTAATTGGATGAAGTGTTCCACTAGCGAACTACATCATGTGTAGATTAAGTTCTTAAAATAAATAGGCATAACTATTTGCTAAAACACGGAAAGTATATAAATAGTTTGTTATACTCATGAATGTTGAGTATACGTCAGTTTTATTGCTCTTATCAAGAAAAATAAATGTACACATCTGATAGTGTTAATAATGCATTTTTACAACGCTTTTAGGCTTTTATGATCGTTTACAAAAATTATATAATTTTTTAACTTTATGGGTTTGTTTCTTATTAATTTTTTTTCAATAAATTTATTAATCAATAACATCTATTAAACATAAAATTTATTAAAAAAATAATATCAATATCATCATCTCTACTTTTTCCTATCTTGAGATAATTATCATATTTATCGAAAACTACAGCATGTACATCTCTAATGTGTAAATCTACCTCTGCCCCTATTAATTCCTGTTTCTGCTTCTAATATGACTAACTAGTCCTTCATATATGAGGTGACCTAACAACCTATCTCGCCTATTTCTTATTAACTTCTATTAACACCATCTTTACTCTTACTGTTTCGAATACTTCATCATATCTAACCACTTCTATCCACGATATTAAATAACATACTTTTATATATGTTTATTATTATTGTTATTT